ACCCAAGCCCAACCCCAACCCCAACCCAACCCCAAACCCAAACCCAACCCCAAACCCAAACCCAAACCCAAACCCAAACCCTGTGAGAGAGCTGCTCGTGTCCTTTTCAATCCATGTTTGAGTTCAAAAAGTCAGACAATAAGGATGGCTGACTTACAAATAAGAAAATTTTCAGGTATAATCTATAATGATTAAGTTGCTGCAATCAATACAATATAACTGAGTTTTCCACTAATTATTATTATTCTAATATTCTCATTATTCGTTCCAAGTAGTTATATAAATAAAATTTTACTAAATCTTTTTGGTTTTAAAAATTATTTGACTAACTTAAAATATATTTTATCATGATAAAGAGGGAGCCATAATCAGAATAAAAATAAAATAGTAATTTAGCATAATTCTCTTAAATAAATGAAATCAGATGTAGAATAAGATATTATGTTAACTATTTTAGTGAAATATTAAATAATGTATTGAATATTTATATTTAATATATAAACTTATAATTAATCATTTTCCTTATTAATAATCATTTTTATTTATTTGAAATCCTTACAAAAATGATTAAAATAATATTTTGTTTCTTATTCGATTTTCTCTTTAACTTTCTTTTGCAAATAAAGATCATAAGTTATTTTGATTTATTAAAATAAATCTATAAACAAATTAGAAGCCAATATTATACAAAACATACTTATATGAATCCATCCAATTAGAATAAACTTATCTTAACTCTTAATTCAAAACTAAATATTAGAAATGTACCTGAAATGATCATCAATAAACATTCTCTACATATTAACTTGGTGAGTTCAAAATAAGATACCAAAGGCTTAAATTTGATTAAGTAGACTAAGTACAATAATGATTGAATAGAAAGCAAAATTGACTAAGCTTCTGGATAGTTTATTAATTCTACAATAATTAATATATAAAACAAGATTCGATAAATTTAAAAAGACTTAATTTAAATAGCCCAAAATTAAGTTTTTGTTTCATAAAAAAAATGCTTCCATTTTGTTTTATTTTTTATTGTAGCTGATGTAATTGAAAGTAAGTTTAAAGTAGATATTAAAATAAAAATCAATCCGAAAAAAGCATTAATACTGTTGAAAATTGAAAAGAGAGGTAATTTGGAAATGCTAAAAGTGCACTGAACATAAATTAATGAAGTATAGCTAAATAAACCTTAAATATTCCTTGTGAGAAATATTCTATTTATTACTTTAAGCACTTTTTCTGTATCTTTGATTAAAATATATTTATAAATTTAACGATTTTATAATTATGTTTATATTTTAAGAAGCGTTCAAAAACTAATTTTTATAAGCTTTTAGATGATATTAATCGATAAATTATGTAAGTTAATATAGATGCAAATATAGAAAAATAGCAGCTTTTAACATTGAACAAATAAGGTTATTTTAAAATATATTTTGGGTCTTATTGTAATTTATTCTTTATTTGGTTTGATGTACTTATTCCAATTAATTCATCTATCTATAAATAATCAAAAATAGGCTGCAATGAGACTTTAGTGTAAGTATTTAAGAAATCGTTCAAATGTGGTGGAAATTAGCATTACATATATCTCACATAAGATAATTATTATAGTAATTCTAATAAATTAAAAACATAATTGCATTTCCTGTTAAAAAAGCCAAACTTGATACTCCAACCATTGAATACATCATTACATCATTTAATTAAACTATATTTATTAATTATTATTTAGTTGTTTATGATAGGACAAATGGAGTGCCAAGATTAATAGTCTTTTTATTTTCCAATAAGCCTAAATCATAAGTATTGAATATAGTATTTTTCTATATGTCGACTTGTAAAATAGGATTTTATATTTGTTCAATAAATTCAATTTATATTTAATATTTTGGATCACTTAGGGTAATTGTTAAATTTGAAATACAACTAATGGTTAATTAATATCGAGTTTAAGGAAAGATAGAAAATACTATGATTTCTTCAAAATTTAAAGATTCCTCTAATTTAACCTATTAAGTAAAAGTTAACTCTACAATTTTTATTTATTTAGCATTATCAGATAAAATATTTAAATTTAATTTAGGAGCTATAATATATGTACATAAACTTAAAGAACCTTCCTAATTTATACATGTATATGAATCTTCAATATGACAATAAGCAGAGCATCCATCTCCTCCATAATTATTACCATCATCGCATTCTTCATATTTATTGATTAATATTCCATTTCCACATTAACTTATACATAAATTATCAATTAAATTATAATTTTCTCCACATCTAAAATTTGTATAAAAAATCAATTATAAATTTGACTTCTCAACATCTTAATTATTATCATTATTATCATAATAGTTTTCCTTTATACATTAAGCTGTTTGAATATTCAATTTATATAAATAATCACATTTCTTGCATTATTATTGTTAACATTCAATACAGCCTTCTGTACATTAAAATTCACACCAATAACAACCATCATATGGAATATCATTACCATCATCACATTATTCATAGGGATCAACAACAATGCCGTCTCCACATTATGTAGTGCAAATGTTATATTGATTAAGGATCCATCCTGGCTTAATGCAAGCTTTACAAATTCCATTTTCACATTAAGCACATTATTCTAAACATTAAAATTTACACTCATAACACCCATCATATGGAATCATATTCCCATCATCACATTCCTCTAGACCCAAGACTAATTAATCTCCACATATTGGTATGCATTTTTAATTACTTAATTACCAACCTTCAACATTACATTCTTTGCAAATATCTAATTCGCATAATGTACATTAGACTTAACATTTTATTTAACAATCAACACAGCCATCATCATCTTTAATATTGCCATCATCACATTCTTCTTCACCTACTATTATTTAATCTCCACAAATAGGAAAACATGGTAAATTATTTCCATCATCATAATATCCAGTTAAACATAAACATTAATTTCTTTATATACTTCTATGATGATCTTTTACACAAGTAAGACAATTATATTAAGAGTCACCATAACAATTTTCACAATATTTATTGCATTAAATACAATTATTTCCTTATAAAAATGTAAATGGATTACATAAACATATTCCATTTATCAAAATAAATTAATTATTAACACATTAAGTGCATTCTTCTATACTTGTACATGTATTGCATCCAGGTTAATTACAATTTTTGCAACTATAATTTTCAATCGATGAATCAAAATCTAAATATTAATTATTACCACAATTGGGACCAGTATATCCTACATCTGAACATGTATTTAAACTTGTACAGCTAGAGCAAAAAGGAGGACACTAAATCATAAAATTAATATACATGATGAATAACAATGAAATACTCAGATATTGCACAAAATTCCTTAGTTATATTTGTATTAATAACATCACATTTAAATTCAATATAAAGATTATTAGTATAGAAGTTTGTTAAACTTACATTAAAAAAACGAATGCTTTCTAGACCAGTACGACCAATCAAATTTTATCCTCCTCCAGGATTATTAAAAAGTCCTTAAAATCCAATACTTGAGGTAGAACCTATTTTATAATAAAAGGATCCAGTATAAGTGTCTCCATAGGTTAAATTAAAATAGATCGTTGCTGCATAATGAGGTTTTTAAATAATCCATGTTTTAATATATGATCCATCATTCCAAACCAATAAACCACCTAACACGATTTTATTATTTAAGAAAGAGAATTTTTATTTAGTTGATAAACTAAATGATGGATCAGTTGTATAATCATAAAATTATTAAATCTCATCAAGAGTCATGTTTAAATCATAAAATCCTTTGGCTAAGTATCTAGAATCTAAAAATTAATTTATAATTATTTACATGGTATGATTTCTTCATAATCAATGCAATTTGATGAATGAATGGGACAATTCTGAACACATTTATTTTGATATAATTTATATGTTGTATCACACTATGTGCAGGTAGAGAAGTCTAAACAAATTAAACAATTTTCTTAACAAAATCCTGTATCTACAGTTATATTTCTTAATCCCCAAGATTCATATTCTTATTAAAGATATCCTTTAATCAAAATAGTTGGATTAGAATTAAATAATTAAAAAGTCATCTCTATTCTTAATAAAGTATAAATACTACCACAATTTTCATTTTTCTCAAATATTTTCACTAAATTATCAACTTAGAAATCAGATGACCCTTTTATAATTCTAGATTGTATTCTATTATTATGTAAAATGTAAATGGTGCTTGTTTCTTAAAAGTTAAACAAATAAAATGTAATTCGAATTCTAATAAACTTTATAGCATTTTCTAGACTCATTTAGTAAAGAAATCCTTCATTAAAATATAACTTTCCAATAAAACTAATCCCATTGCAATTTTCATAAATTAAATCAGAGTTTCTTGGATTAAATTCATCTTTTTCAAATATTAATGGATAATATCTTTGATTTGATTAAGGGATGCTCTCACTTTCAAATAGTGTAAATTTTGATCTTATTCTTTTATCATTAACACATATTTTATCATAATCTGCAATTGAATAATCTCTACTGCATTCTTAAAGACAACCTATATAAGTTTCAGAAAATTATTAATCAGGAATACACTAACATTTCCCTCCTTATACACTTTAATTATCAAAACATGATAAACATTATGTTTCTGTAGGACCATTACAAGTTAAACAAGTTGGATGGCAAGAATTGATATATCAATAAATTGTTAATTCCTAAAGACACACGACTTCTTCTAGGATTAAAACAAATTTTTATTTTAAATTAGTTAGTATTAGAATTAGCAATAGTACTTACAACTGTATAGAATTCAAAATCTCTCCAAGTACTATGACAAATTCGAACACTGTTTTAATTTAAATCAGATTATTTATAATTTCTTCTATACAATAATTATTCACTTTCTGAATCTTTATTGCTATCATAACTAACCTTTAATGATGAATCTACATCATTATCAGCATCATCAAAATAAGCATCAAATATTACTTGAGCCTGATAGCTTTTATAATTAAATGATTTATATATATATCGTCTATCATCGTCTAATAATACATATTGAATGTAATTCTAAGTACAAGTTTGATAATTAATTGATCTCTCTAAAGAATCAAAACATCTATCATTTATTTCCCAATTATTGCTTATCATTTGCAACTCTGTAAAACTCTAATCAACAAGTCTCCAGTTGGATGCAACTTAATGCATAAGTAAAATCAACTGCATACAAGTTTTAATTTGAAAAGACATAATAATTCTGTTTTAATGTAAAAAAAATAAAAATAAAAATCCTTATTATAGAGTTATAATTTTAGTCTATCAATCAATTTTGACTTATTCAATTGTTTTGATATCAAAATTATCGTTATAAATTCTGTTAGATTAAGGTAAATATGTTAAATTTTTAGGTAAATATTTATCTGTCTATATTTTAATCAAAAAGAAACAATTAATATATATAAAAATTTGATTAAAATAATCAAAAAGATAGGTTTTCTAAAATATTATCCTATTTAAGAATTATTCACTATTATATAAGTACTAATAATAGAGATTTTTAGAAATGTAATTTTTGTTATTAGAATTAATATATAATTCAATTATTCTAATATATATAAGTAGTGATTATAAAGATAAGGATCTAAGGTCTCATTAAACATAAAAATATAAAATAATATTAAATGATTAAGTAATAGTAAACTTGTAAAATTATAAGAGATTATGAATAAATATAAAGATTTATAATCTAATAGATTATAAGAAAATATATATTGGATAATAATAAATTTTGGAATAGATTCCTATGTATAATTAGTTGCAATTAACTGAAAAGAATTAGAGAATTGAAAAAGTTAATCCAGAAAATTCCTACCTCTTTCAATCTTATTAATAACTTAGTTGAAGATAGCTTTCAATATCAATCATTAATAGTATATTGTTGTATTTGTATACATTAAATAGAATATGATTATCAAAATTAAAGTTTATAATTCTTATAGGCAGAAATATTAGAAAGTAAAATATTTTGATAGAACAAATCTTTCATCTAGATTTGATCTGAAAAAGATGTTAAATTAATAATCATTTAATATTAAGGTAATATATATCATATTTATTTTTATGACTATTTCCTAAAACAATTGTTTGTTTCATTCAACGTCATACACTAATACTACCAAATTTATTTATAATTCTAGTAATTTATTATTTACTAGTTATTCAATTACATCACCTTAATTTAACTAAAAATTATTAATATATAATTTTCTTTACTTCAAAATCATAACATTTATAATAAATGAGAAATTGAATCATAATCTTTGAATAATACTCAAGGAGCTAATTTTTTAAATATCCCACAAGATATATTAAAATGCTCCTTAAATTTATATGAAGAATATTTTTCAGTGTTAAAATAGAAAATGAAAATAAAATGGAATATATCCTTGTAATTATCAAATTTAATCTCCATAAAAAAGGTTTTTCTTCAAATTATGTAATATAATTAATTATATTCAAATATGAGAATGATTTTTTTACCTTTCCCTTCAGAGTGTAAAATTTAATTTTTCATGAATTAAAATTAAAATCTAATCAATAAAACTATTTTAAATACTAAAACGTTCATGCAACTAATGAAAATTATTCTAACAAAGTTTGTGAAAAGTTACGAATTTCTCTTTTAGAGGTTTTTTTTCTTCTTCATCATAATATGTCATTTTTAATTATATTAATACTTACTATTATATCCTAATGAAATTATTTAATATAAATTAATTTAAAGTATTTCATTTCGCTATTTTAACAATTTTTGATTTATTTTTCTGTTAAAATTAAAATTAAAAAACATTTGTTTTCTAAATGAAAAAAGCCTAAAAATGAAAACTTGTAAGGAATTATATTGTTTCTAAAATTCTACTTCATTTTTTTTGTTCTAAATTTTAATGATTTATATATATTACTTAAATTGAAGCATCAATAAAATGTAATTGTTGTTCTTTATTTACCAAAAATAGATTCCTATTTAATAACTTTTATTTGATTATTTTACATAGATATAAACATAATTGTTAAATACTATGGGAAAAGTTTAAGAAACCTTAAAAAATCCATAGAGAACATGATATATTGGTCAAATATAGAATAATTATTAATAATATATTTAAGATAATGTTTGCGTCATCAATACCTGGAGTCACAACTTAAAGAACTATAACATTTATCCTATGTTTTTTCTAATACGTATTTATTCATTGCACTCGATCTACTTGGAGTTATGTTTCAGGTGACATGGTGAAATAAGGATATTTTTCATCTAATTATCTAGGCTATATAAATTTTGCTTTTTTATTTTTTTATGGGTTAGCCATATCTTGGTAGAATAATAGCTTAATTTTAGTTTAGGACAATTTGGGGACAGAATGAATCTAAGAATATTTATTTTAGCAGGAACTTTTACAACAAGTGTGATTTTCACAATTATTGGTGTAATGATTTAGATACAGGAAAAAAAGAATTATTTGTACCTAATATTATAAATCATAAATGGTATCTCATAATCAACAGCATGGCCTGGATTATTAGGTAAAATAATTATAAATTTAGCTATTCTTAACAATTGGTTTGTAACAGATAAAAAAATTGTACTTTTAGGTTTCTTTGCTGCAGGTCCTAATGTAGGAGATATATTTGGAGATATATATTCAGGTTCTTTAATTGGAAGAGATCATTTACCTTTGTATGCTCCTGTATATTTAGCAGCTGTTTCTTTATTCATTATCAGTTTTTTAAATGCCTTCTTTTTATAAAATGCCCCTTCTGTAGATATTAAAAGACTAATGATTGAGGAATATGAAAAAAATAAGGTAAATTAACTTAATATGGATAATTAATAATTAACTATAGCAATGATTGAATAAAAATTTGAACCAAATCTAAATACAAAATTAGATGATAACAAAAATGAAATTGTATAGTCATAGTTAAAAATCTATGAAGAAAAAGAATAATTAAATTATTTTACTGCTTGGTTTGTACCAAATGTTGCTTTTTATGCATTATCATTTGGATGTGTTAAAGCTGTATATTATATTCTTACATTCTGGCTTCCTGCTTATTTAGATTCAAAAAATGTTCCAGATGTTGCTTGGATTACTGCTTAAACTGATGTTGGTTCTATTCCTGGAGGAATTCTAGTTTGGTTAGATTTTATATTTATTTAGTTTAATTGGATTTTATTTTAATAAAAGAGCTGTAATTATAGTTCCATCTTTATGGATTGGTACAATTATTATGATATCAATTAATTACAGTGGCTCATTAAAACATGAAATTGCTGGATATATTTCATTAGTTTTTCTTACTGGATTATTTATAGGTGGATGTTACAATAATATATCAGCAGCATTAACAGTAGAATTAAGCAATTAACCTGAACTTAAAAGTAATAGATATTTATATATATATAATTTAGAAAATAAATAAGCTACTACTACTGTAGTGTCAGTAATTATGGGTTTTGGTGCCATGTTTGCAGCTATAAATTAATTAATTGTTCCATATGTAGAGAGCTATTTATTTCTATATTGTGGAGGTGTCTCAATAATTGGAGGAATTATTTTAATCCCATTAGTAATTAGAGAAATTCAAAGAATGAGATTGAATTCTTTGAAAAAATCATTCCAATGATTAATATTAAATAAATTTCCAAAATTATAATAAATGCAAGTAAATATTCTTTTCATGATAAAGAAACTTGAAATAAATTGAAGATATTAGATTATTTAGGATTTCTCTTATTATTATCGTAGCTCTAAGTATGCAGAATATTAAAACGTAAGTATTTATTAATATCATATTTTTATAATCAGATAAAATTGGTTTATTTCATTTTTACAAAATTTGTATTATGTATTATATTATTGCTAGAATTAACATTTGATTGCTTGAAATTTTAATATTTTTGATAGAAATTTTCACATTTCTTTCATATATTAATGAAAAAGGATGATCAAACTTAATATTTTGAGATAATGTATTATAAAAATTGAGATTAAAAATAATTTATTTAATTACTTTATTTCAAGATTATCGTATGAGAAAAAAAATTTGCAATATATTTGATACATACTTAATTATATTTTCATTGACAAAAATTGAAAAACTAAACTTAATTTATTCAATCATATTAATTAATGAGAAAATCATTAATTAATATTATAAGGATTTTCAGTAAAAGTTGATAAAGAACCTTTGTTATTATTGATTTTTAATGAGAATATAAACAAATATTGTAAATATTAAGTAATAAAGAAAGAGTAACTATATTTACTCATTTCATAAGATTATTTTTTTATGCTATCAATTAATTTACTTCGTTGTTTGTAAATTTTATTATCAAATCAATATATACACTACTAGACTTCTAAATTTATTGATTTGACTATTCATGTAATTTTTATATAAAATGGATTCAAAAAAGAGAATTATATATCATAAGATTAATCTTCTTATCAAGAAGATATTATTAATTATTAATAAATAAATTATAAAAACAATAATGATAAATAATAAAATGATTGAAAACTCTATCTAAGAGATATGCTAATATGTAGAAGTATAATATTCATTATCAATATATAGCTTTCTTATGATAAAATACTTAATTCGCTTGATTAACTTTTAACTCCTTAGTAATTTCCAAAATTGATAATCAACTCTCCAACTTTATATTCATTACCACAAGAAAGACCATTAGTAATAAATTTCGCAAATGAAACTGTATAAGAAATTACTCCACTTATTGATTAATTTAAACTCCTCTATGAAAAAAAGTAAGAATAATTAGACTTATCACAAATTAAAAATTCTGAATTACAAAACACTTTATAAGAATTCAAAGATATTAAGAGGAATGAGTAGAATAATTATGATTAGCTGCTTTAAGATACTTAGAATTTATTGTAATAAAAAGAACTAGAAATAAAATAATTACATCAAACTTAAAGTGAAATAATAAAAGATTAATAACAAAAAATTTAAGAACTTCAAAAGTAAAAAGATTATTTCTTGATAGAAAATGCTAAATAGAAATAAGAAGATATCATTTAGAATGAGTAATTACAACAATCTATTTTATTAAATTCTTTTACTTTTTCTTAAACTTATAAAAACTCAAGTTGTTAGGTATCTTAGAATGGAAAGCTATTTTATAATAAGGGTCTATTTTATTCATGTTTATGCGATTAAGCTATCCCTAATCAAGGTATTGTGAAATTTGGTTATTTAATACACGATATAGGTACTAATTAGACTATGGTTGGAATAGGAGCAAGAGAAATAATTTCTAAATTTGGGTATTCGAATATACAAGATTCAGGTAAAGGGTAAATAATATTTATAATTTTAGAGCCTATCTTATAATGAGTAGTGGCTATTGTTTTAGTCATCATCAAAAAGAGAAATATCATAATTCAATACCTTTCACTTTTACTAATAATGATATTATTATTATAGAAGTTGGCATAGAATAAAAATATATCAAATGGATAAAAAAATCTACTAAATAATCTTTTGTAAATTTTTATTAATATGTAGCTCCTTGAAATAGATCCAAATTATGAATATTATCCATGTATTAATGGTCCGGGAAAAGTTGAAATATTAAATGAAATAAATCCATGAAATTCTAAATATAATAATTAATAATTTATCTTTTTTCTTATTTATCCATATTTCAATTTACAAATTTTTGTGTAAGACCTCTTTTTTTTAAATGTTCTCAATATTGTTAAAACACAGTTTCAGATAAGGTTTTGCAAATTTATTTATATATTGATACTCATATATTTATAACAAAATATCAAAAAACATAGTAGTGTTCATTATTATAATTAGAACCCCTATGATAAATAATGTTTTAACAACTAAATACTCATATAACAAATATTCAGAGAAATTTTTATTTTTTTAAATGTCGAGTGCAATTTCTTTATATTTTGCAACTTTAGAAGCACCTAAAAATTTAATTAACAAATTAAATATAAATTAAAAATTGACTGAATAATAAATTATATAGATAACAAATAGACAGGGGCAATTAAATTAATGTGTAGAATCTTTTGAACTTTGGATCCTTCATTATGTGAAATCAAAATTAGATAAGCCTAAAAAATTTCAAATGCTATTGAAATTTAACTTTTTCTTTATTAATCTCAAAAAATTTTATTATATTAGTATTCTAAATTTTCTAAAATTGAGTATATTGTGTTGAAATATATAGAGATTTTTAATTTGATCATGAATAGACTTTTCAAAATACTTGTCTATTAATTTATGTTATCATGATTACCATTAATCTTAATTAAATTTATTTTTGCAAACTTGAAAATAGAATTATTTAATCATCGTATATTTTATATTAAAGAATTAGAAGCAAATGTTAGAAAATAATACAATAAAATTAAGAATACTTTAATTTTGAATAAATTACTAAGATGAATAAATAAATAAATTCTTATATGGATTTGCTTTGAAGAAGCCTATGACCTAAGATAATTATTTTTTTTGCAACCTTTAAGAGTATAGTAAAATGCATCAATATTATGTAAATGATAATTTGAATTGATATTATGATTCTCATCTTATTTACACAGTATGATATTCCCAAATATAATAAATATAATTAAAAGGAAATCAGTTATTTAGAATAGGAACACCCAAAAAAATAACTTTTGATTACCCAATCTGATATAGTCTGAAGAACCTTCTACTATCATTACAGAAACTTATTGACTTTTTCAGGATAAGAGTAGTTGTTTATCTTGAATTAACAGTTTAATTTGTAAAATAAAAAAAGAATCTTTTGTCTAGCCTCAAAATCTTTAGGAATTAATTAATTAATTCCCATCTGGATATATGCCTTATTAATTTATTAAAAATATCTTTTCCTATTCTGTTTATTCTGTGATTTATTACATAGGACTTTAATTCACAAAAATAAAAAAAAAATCTGTCTTATTTTTTTGAAATTATTATTTTAAATATTTACGAAAATTTCAATTAAACTTAAATAAATTAATGATTAAATATTTAGTTTCTACAATTTGGTTTTAAGGGAATAAACTTACTGATTTTAAGGCTTAATTATTAAATTGATATTAAAAAATAAAAAATAATATACAAATATAATTTTCATTTTTCATATAATTCATATATTGAATATTGTTTAATGTAATCATCCCAAAACACTAAATAATCTCCATTATTTGAGATAGTCCCAAATATTTTATTTGTGTTGAAATTCAATTTATTAACTATTTTGAACTTTCCATCATTCATTAATCTAATGATATATATATGAGTTTTATGTCTCACTACTATCAAATTCTTCTCCTCATTGTAAACTATTGGAAAACGAAACTCATCAAGAGGTTAATTATTTTTATCCAATTAAATTGTCTTCTCTAAATTCTCTTAAAAAACTCTTTCTTTTAATTCAAATACATACATTTAATCAAAATCTTTATCACCTGTAATCCAAATAAATTAATTATCTTTAATAAACTAAACCTTAAGTCCATAATCTTAAATTGATTATTTAACTAAATATTTGTACACAAACTTATTTTATGATTAATATTCCCAAATTATAATTCCATTTTGATCTTATGCACATGATACTAAATAATTTTCTGATTTATTTAAACTTAATGAATTAATAGAATTTTTATGTTTATTTAAAGAATAAAGATATGTCAATTAATTTTTATTAAATTCAACCTTCCATACATTAATTGATGTATCATCACTTCCAGAAAATAGGATATCTTCTTTTGAATTTAATAAGATACATTTTACAGACTTTGTATGTTATTTATAAGCTTATGAGTAATTCCAATCAATTTAATTAATTCTTTGCCAACATATTATTGCATTATCTACAGAGCCTGAAATAAAGGAATTTTATTTTTTACTATAAACTAAGCATGAAACCAAATTAGTATGACATACCAAAGTATTTATTAATTATATTGTTCCATCTTCAAATTTCCATACTTAAATATCATTATCTTTAGTTGATAACATAATTGAACCAGAAAAATCAAAAACTATTGCTTTACATGAGTCAGTTTATTTAACTGATTGATCAATTTATTGTAAATTAATATCACCTTAATCAAATTAATTTGATTAAATAATCTTGAAAAATTATTTTTTTAATTCTCCTAAGTTAAACTTATCCTTATTTAAGTGATAATCTGATAAAGTTTTATGTAACTTCAACATTGAAGAATTATTTATCTTATTAATAAGTTTTTTTCTTTAAATAAAGTTAGTATTTTTGTTCTTAATATAATTATCTAATTCTTCATAAAAAGAGTATTGATTTTATTATTCTTTCTAATCTTATAAATTATTAATCCATTATGAAGTTATTCCAATTATAGAATCAAATAAGTTTAGAAAAGATGTCTTTAATTCTTCTGTAATTTTATTAATTTTGATTAATTACTAAATTGTTTCATTAATTATTTTTTCACATTCATTATTATTGGTATCAATAATTTATTCAATAATCTCTAAAATTCTTTGTAATCCTATAGTTTTGGCATCTGATTCGAAGTTATTCAAACATGATTTACAAAAAAATTTTTTATTCTTATCTAACTTTGGATCAAGCACTATCATACAAATTTTTTCATTCTGGTGAGATAAACATAAAAAGTTTTCTTCGGTTTCTATCATTTTTGATTTAGACATTTCAATTAATAATTTAATTTATGAGAGGCAATAATTTTAAAAGAAAGAGAAATAATTTAATCTATTGAAATAGTTTGCCCCTATCTACTTAATATCTACATTAATGACTAAAAATGGAAATACAGATTGAAAATAAAAATAAAAAATTCCTCTTTATCGAATTTTTAATAGTTAGAAAAGCTCCAGCTTAAGAAAGAAGAATCATAAATTTAAATTAATAGCTAATTTAATTTACATTGATAAAACCACATAACAATATTAATATTACAATTAATCTATCCTATTATTTCAATAATTTTTCGGAGAATTTCTGTCATTCTTAAAAAATAAATTAGATCATTTGTTAGGGTTATAAATTTGATCAAATTATGTTATCATAACTTAAGAGTGATAATTTTGCTTGTCCATATAAAAATAAATTCTCTTTCAAAATTTTCTCATATTCATAAAATATTCTATAAAACCTAAATTATTCATATATTAAATAATTAAAAATGAAAACTTTAGTATAATAAGAAAATTATTTTTGCTTTTGGATTAATCAGATGGTTATTTTTAATGAGTCAAATTGTATTCAATTATTTTTAGGTTCATATTTTCACTTTAATTTGATAATTAGTGCTTTTTAAATCACTAGTTGTGTTGTGAAGAATAAAATTTTTTTTATCTGAATGAATAACAAAAATTAAATTAAAATTCTGATAATATTTTATTATTTCAAATTTATGATTTTGTTTCTTAGAGCTAAACTTAGTTACATATATTAATTCAAATCATTAATCGTTATATTTTTACATCTACTTTGATTCCTAGCATCTATTTAATGTCCTACATTTAAACAAACTCTTCTTATATAACTAATTTTAATCTTCAAGATTAAATCTAAACTTATTATATTTAATACCTTTTATGAGGTTAGTTATCTCAAAACTTTCATTCTCAGAATGTAAAATTAGGAATTAGGTTATACAATGTTTCTTAATTGTGGAGTAGTTCTACTGCCATATACACCTAATCCTCTTTATATTATAATCTTAATTTAGATGAATATTTCTTCTATGACTGAATATTCTTTTCTTCTAATGATAATGAAGTAAATAAATTAACTTAAATTCTTATAGAAAGATACAAATGAACTTTTTAATACTGTTGGGTGTTCTAGATAATGGGAGGAGTTCTGATGATGACTGTAATTAATTACCTTTAACAGCTAATATATCATGATAAAAATGATACTATTATTCTTCCAGTTACTACTCCAGAACCAAAACACATTGAAATTTTCATAGGGTCTTTTTTATATTTAATAGAAAACTAATCTTAAATGTACCTTGTGTAAAGATCTTTTTTTTGCTCTTATAAACTAGTGAAAGATAATGAAATAATCTAGATAGTTTTAATTTCAGAAGAGAAAGGGCAAGTTGTGTTAAGAGAGTCTCAATTTAAGGTAATTTTCATTCCTTAAGAGGGATTATATGCATGTTTCCTATTTAGTTAGAGCTTAAATAAATGACATTTTTTCATCCTTTAATATTCAAGCAGAGTTACTTGATTATGGGAAATGCAAGTGAAAATCCCTCCATAAAGCCAAGTTCTTCTTCGTAAATTAAGAAAAAAGAACCAATAACTGGAAAAAGATTGATTTACTCATAGATTTAATTAAAAAATCAATTTATTCAAGTCTGATGAGAAAAAAATCAAAGTATTTTCGAAGGTGTTAAAGCAATTAATAAAAAAGTTTTTGAAAAGAAAATATAAATCTGATTGTTTACATAATCTACACAACAAAAAAATTAAAATTGTATTTCATACTGAAAAATATTAATTAGCTTTGTGAGGTTATTTAAATTATTTGACCATATAAATCATATAATAAGGCTGTTAAAAGATATATAATTTTGGTATATTTATTCAAATCTGTTTTGTTTTTTATATTTGATTTTATTAAAATCTGATTTAAATGTTATTTGTAAAAGAGAAAATAAAAAGGAAGAAATTAATATGGTTTGCTATAATATAATTGTACATAGTTGAATGATTGATTTGCTGTATATTTATTAAGAAGAGTTACTATACTATAATGATGATGTCAAAGAAATATATTATTTTGGAAAAATTGTTAAGAATAAAAATTAAGAATGTGATTATTTGATGGATTAAATTAAATAATAAGATAAAATATTTATCAATCATATTCAAAATTTAAATAAGAAATAACAAAGATATCATCATTTAATTTCTATGAAAATAATTTAGGAATCGCTTTATTTAGGCTAAAATTTAAAGGAAAAGTAATATTAATTTTTATTTGATATTTCAAAGGAAATACAAAGAGCCATAGAATTATTGAGTAGATATATATAACTGTATCATAATAATTATCAAGATTAATGTATTAAAGGAAAAAATAATGTATTAATGATAGGTTAATGTCTACCAAAATATTATTAATTGACTTATGTATAATATTGCTAAACAAATGATAGGGAAGAATTTGGCTGGATAATCCTTTAGCTATCAATCCTCAGCATGTTTTTCCTTATTAAAAAAAAGGTATATTTAATAGATTTACAGGTGAATGCTTTTTAAATTATCATTTATTCTCACACACTTATAAAATTCTTAAGTAAACATTAGGATGCAATAAATTTGTAAGATAAAGGATTATTAATTGATCCTAAAAGTGGGGTTTCATTTTCTGAAAAAGATTTAATTATGAGTTAATTTAATAAATAGGTTAATGCTTAATGAAATTAAAAAAATATGAGAATTCTTTACAAAATCTAAATTTAGCACTTTCCACTTGTCCTAAGAAACCATTTCTCTCAAGAATAAAGGTATTTAATTATTTGATTGTAGAGTGCTGCTTATATTGAGGCATTTATCATTTTCATTGTAGAATGTTAAGGAAATATTAAAAAGCTTTGATTTTTTCATAAAAATTATTTTTTTTTTCAATCTATTGACAAAGGATCATATTTGTATTTTTATCTTTTTAAATAAGAAAAATCATTAAAAGATATTAAATAACGATTAATTAGAAAATCATAAATCTATTTATTATTTTACTTATGCAATTTAAATTAACATTGAATTAATTCTAATTAAATTATCTGTTTAACAATCTATATTTTTCAAATCTTTTTCAGATCTTATATTCAATAAAATCACAGTTACTCAAAAAAATTATAACTAAAAAAAAAAATTAGGCAAATGATCTAAATTGTAAAATTGTAGAAAAATCTATTGAAATTCTTGATTTTTTTTCTGAGCCTAACAATTTCTCTAATTGTAAACAAGGAATCATTATTATACTATCACAATAATAATAGGGAGATACTTGAGTAATATTTGAAGAGATTTAATATGGACTAGAGGATTTGATTTGAAAAAGTATATTAAGAAAAATGATATTCAAAAATCGTTGTTATAATTTGTTTTTATTCTAATATAGGGCTTATTTAACACGAATATTATCAAATTGAATTTGTAAATAAAAAATATTTAATCACACTTTAAAATCTAAAATAGGAACAAATTGTATNATTCAAAATTTAAATAAGAAATAACAAAGATATCATCATTTAATTTCTATGAAAATAATTTAGGAATCGCTTTATTTAGGCTAAAATTTAAAGGAAAAGTAATATTAATTTTTATTTGATATTTCAAAGGAAATACAAAGAGCCATAGAATTATTGAGTAGATATATATAACTGTATCATAATAATTATCAAGATTAATGTATTAAAGGAAAAAATAATGTATTAATGATAGGTTAATGTCTACCAAAATATTATTAATTGACTTATGTATAATATTGCTAAACAAATGATAGGGAAGAATTTGGCTGGATAATCCTTTAGCTATCAATCCTCAGCATGTTTTTCCTTATTAAAAAAAAGGTATATTTAATAGATTTACAGGTGAATGCTTTTTAAATTATCATTTATTCTCACACACTTATAAAATTCTTAAGTAAACATTAGGATGCAATAAATTTGTAAGATAAAGGATTATTAATTGATCCTAAAAGTGGGGTTTCATTTTCTGAAAAAGATTTAATTATGAGTTAATTTAATAAATAGGTTAATGCTTAATGAAATTAAAAAAATATGAGAATTCTTTACAAAATCTAAATTTAGCACTTTCCACTTGTCCTAAGAAACCATTTCTCTCAAGAATAAAGGTATTTAATTATTTGATTGTAGAGTGCTGCTTATATTGAGGCATTTATCATTTTCATTGTAGAATGTTAAGGAAATATTAAAAAGCTTTGATTTTTTCATAAAAATTATTTTTTTTTTCAATCTATTGACAAAGGATCATATTTGTATTTTTATCTTTTTAAATAAGAAAAATCATTAAAAGATATTAAATAACGATTAATTAGAAAATCATAAATCTATTTATTATTTTACTTATGCAATTTAAATTAACATTGAATTAATTCTAATTAAATTATCTGTTTAACAATCTATATTTTTCAAATCTTTTTCAGATCTTATATTCAATAAAATCACAGTTACTCAAAAAAATTATAACTAAAAAAAAAAATTAGGCAAATGATCTAAATTGTAAAATTGTAGAAAAATCTATTGAAATTCTTGATTTTTTTTCTGAGCCTAACAATTTCTCTAATTGTAAACAAGGAATCATTATTATACTATCACAATAATAATAGGGAGATACTTGAGTAATATTTGAAGAGATTTAATATGGACTAGAGGATTTGATTTGAAAAAGTATATTAAGAAAAATGATATTCAAAAATCGTTGTTATAATTTGTTTTTATTCTAATATAGGGCTTATTTAACACGAATATTATCAAATTGAATTTGTAAATAAAAAATATTTAATCACACTTTAAAATCTAAAATAGGAACAAATTGTAT